CATCTCCTTGGTAGATCCCGCACTTGATGGTGACTTGTGCTATGGGCTTGGAGTTGGCCTCTAGTGTTGTACGCCACATCCCCATTGAGTTCCTGATGAAGGCTCTTAGGGTCCCATTGATCTTGTACAATTCTAGGCATTCCAGTATCCAGCTGTGGGGCATTGAGTCATAGGCCTTCTTGTAATCAATCCAGGCAGTGCACAGGTTGGTCAGTCTGGTCTTGCAGTCTCGGCTGATTGTTCTGTCTACCAGTAGCTGGTGTTTTGCGCCTCTGGTATTCTTGCCAATTCCTTTCTGTGTCCCGCTCATGTATTGACCCATGTGCCTGTTCATCTTAGCCGATATGATGCCTGACAGGAGCTTCCATGTAGTACTGAGGCAGGTTATTGGTCGGTAGCTGGAGGGGACCGGTCCCTTCTTGGGGTCCTTGGGGATCAGGACCGTCCGGCCTTCAGTTAGCCATTCCGGGTGTCTCTCGTTAACTAGCAGCTGGTTCATTTGTGCTGCCAGACGCTCGTGGAGTGCAGTTAGCTTCTTCAGCCAGTAGGCGTGAACCATGTCGGGCCCTGGTGCTGTCCAACTCTTCATACTGGAGACCCTTTCTTGGATATCTGCCACTGTGATGGTTACTGGACCCTGTTCAGGGAGGTCGCTGTGGTCTGCCCTCAGATCCTCTAGCCACTGAGCATTGCCGTTATGGGTTGCATCCTTCTCCCATATGCTCTTCCAGTATTGCTCCGTCTCCAGCCTTGGTGGTGCTGTTCTCTTATTGTTCCCTTGCCACTGAGAGTACACCTTTGCTGGTTCTGTGGAGAACAGCTGGTTTATTCTCCTGCCTTCTATCTCTCTGGTGTACCTCCTCAAGCGGCTGGCCAAGGCTGTGAGTCTTTGCTTGGCAGTTTCCAAGGCCTCAGGTATGGACAGCTTGCTGTATTTCTTAGGCACCTTATTCGTCACACCTTTCTGCAACTCCGTTAGTTGGCTAACCTCTCTCCGTGCTACTTTGATCTTGCCCTCTAGCCTCCTTCTCCATGGAGGGTACTGCCCCTTGTGGCTGTTCAACTTGTAGCCAAGCATCTCACTGATCACTGTTGCCGTATTGTAGATCAGCTTGTTAGTGTCGGTAATCGTGGTTGTAGGTATTGCCCGTAGTGCTGCATTAACATCATCTAGCAGACCTTCTGAGGGTACTTCACGTAATCTTGGTAACCGGCTACGGGGGATCCAGGTTTCAAGCTTGGCCATGATCCTATTTTTCAGGTCATTTCCTCTCGCACTCAACGATCCTTCTCCTATCACACTTGGGGCTATGTACCCAATCTCGGGTGGGGGTGATGATATCTCCCCCCTGACCTGGCGTCCTGACTCCTCCTTGCCGTAGCATTTGTGTTGTACCTCGTCAATCTCTAGCTGTGAGAGCAGTCCCTTCTTTCGAATGTTGGAACACTGAGCTACTAGTTGTTTCGCCGTCATTGTGGATGTTGGGTATCGAAGAATCCATAGGTCCCTCATCCTATTCATGTAGCCCCTTCCGCCGGGGTTACTTGCGTAGTAGCATTCCAACAACGCCCTGTTTTCGTCCCTTGCCCACTGATGCCTTCTTGTTCCAGTAGCCCACTTTTCGTCAGGGTGCCCTGGTTCCTCAACACCTGACGCGGACCTTGTTGATCCGGGCGACGTCCGAGCCGGCATGCCTTCATATTTATCTGTCTCGCTCATGTCTGCGGTAGGCTTGCTTAGCATAGGGGGTCTAGCCTTAGGACCCTTACTGGATACAGACGCCCCAGGCAGGAATCGAACTTGCGATCCTCTGTTCCAAAGGCGTGTAGTCTAACCACTACGCTATCCAGCTGATTGATATATATATATATATATATATATATAAAGTCGACCTTAATCTTACAGAGAATGTGATGATTTTGTGGATAATTAAAGTCAGTCATATATCCACTGTGATATTATTCTGTTATCATATGTTACCTCATATATGTAATCAAAGTAGTTGAATTATGTTAACTGCTGTAGGTCATATAATTTCCTTTAGTTTAGATGGCGTGCTGTGTATGTAGTTTAGTCCTTATTATACTTTTGGGTTAAAAGAACATAATCATTTTCGTAGGTCATTAGATAAGTGTGCATCACTCTGTATCCTTGATCTGCTGTGAATGTGTTACACTGTTTGTGGACATGTCATACTGCTGAATCATGAAGAGAATGTTGTGTGCAGAGGACCTTGTGCAGATAATAGAAGAAACAGACCACATTCCATACCCCCACCTTTCAGAAGAGCAGAAAGACAGGGAGCCGAGGTCATAACTTAGGCGCAGTAAGAGAGAAAGAATGTGAAGGTTTAGGCTTTTACGGCCAGGTGGGGGCCACTAGAGAGTATAAAAAGCTGGGTAACCCGTCACCATTTTGAGACTTGCTGTGACCCTCTGCAGGCAGCTCTCCCCATCATGATGGTTCTAATGCTCATAAGTGTTGAATTGTATGGAAATAAATGATTGTTGATTGAGCATTTATACACCGAGTATTGTCCTTCCTTCAGCCCCAAAGATTCAAAGAATTGGGAGATTCCAACACCACAAACACAACAAGCTGAAAGTCAGTGATGCTGCTCGGTTTGCAGTCCTGAATATCACGGCACAAGCAGGATTCACTGCACTGTTAATGTTAGCTCTGTTATATTGCTGCCTCTGTTCGGTGGTGTCGAGCCAAACGGACTTTAATGTGTGTTTGAACGAGCTGACGGTTCACTCGTTAAGCTGGAAGAAAGATTCTTTAATCACAGGAGTCACACATGTGTCCACTGTACCATCTGGGAACTCTGTTTGTTTAGCACTCATAATAACACAAACACTAAATCCTCCTTCTCTGGTGCTGTTGTGTAGCAGTGTGTACACCTGAGACTGTCACCTGTCTGTCTGTCCTGCACTTTCTCTCCTTTTCTTTCTCTCTGATTGTGGAATAAATGTATGAAAATGTATTTATAAGTTACACTTGTGTTTGAATCTTGCAGCTTATCACACATTTGATTTCCATGTGTGACGACTGTGAAGCCCAACTATCATGTTTTACAGTCCTGTGGTCTCAGCCTCAGATACTCAACTAATCAAAGTGATGTCATGACAAAAATCAATGACCAAAAAAACATTTTTCTCCTTCATTTCAGTCAAACAACGCTGTATGAAACATTTCTCGCGGTTAGTATCATGGTTGCTAGGCAACCTGAACAGCGCGACGAAGGCTAGACCGTCCCATTTCACAAGCCTCTCACTTCTGCACTTCTCATACTTATAGTACGCATCGTACGTAGTACGCATAGTGCGCGTACTTCAAGCGTGCAGACCCTGAATTTGGACACAGCCTTGACACGATCTGTTTTGTTTGGATCGCAGCACAAAAAAGTCTAACAGTGTCATCTTCCTAAAGCTTTTCTGTTCAGACATTCCTGGAGACAAAATTGAGAAACCTAATGAATCTGATAACAAGTTCTGAATTGGACTGAAAGATGGTAGAGCAGGATTCTTGAACTTCAGGCCGCGAGGGCCGGTGTCCTACAGGTTTTAATAGATCAGTGTTTCCATGCATTTTAGATTATTCAGTACATTTTCTCAATTAAATAGAGCCACTAATCTGCTCTTTAAGAAATGGTAAATGGCCTGTATTTGTATAGTGCTTTTACTAGTCCCTAAGGACCCCAAAGTGCTTTACACGGTCAGTCATCCACACATTCACACACTGGTGACAGCAAGCTACATTGTAGCCACAGCCACACTGACAGAGGCGAGGCTGCCGGACACTGGCGCCACCTGGCCCTCTGACCACCACCAGTAGGCAACGGGTGAAGTGTCTTGCCCAAGGACACAACAACCGAGACTGTCAGAGCCTGGGCTCGAACCGGCAACCTTCCAATTACAAGACGAACTGCCAACTCTTGAGCCACGATTGCCTGTTTTAGATATCACCCTGGGTCAACACACCTGAATCAAATGATTAGTTCATTACCAGGTTTCTGGAGAACTTCAAGACTTATTGAGGAGGTAATTTAGCCGTTTAAATCAGCTGTGATGGATCAAGGACACATCTAAAACCTGCAGGACATCGGCCCTCGAGGCCTGGAGTTCGAGACCTCTGCCATAGAGGGCAGATGGTTGTGTGTGGATGGCGGAGCAGCAACTGGACACCAACAATTTAAATGGAACAAATAGTGAATATACTGGACTATGAACAGCTCATGGCCAGAAGTGTTGGTTTAAATCATCCTTCACAGAACTATTTGTGAAAAACCAGCAGTAACTGGACAACTTAAATCTATGTGCCTGAAACTGAGTTCAGCCTGTAAAATATGAGCAACATTTGCTTAACAAAGTACATATGGCTGCTGTGTGTGCTAAACGCAAACGCACACACATTACATTATCACAGCAACATCTCTTTGCGAAATATGTTCGCATGGCTATGTTTAGATATGTTTTCTCAAATTTAAGATCAATGTTTGTGTTGTTTTTCATCTAACAGCTCATCCAATCAACAGTTCTTTTTTTTCTGCCTCGACCTGCTCACTTCTTATTTGAAACACTTGTGTTGTTTTTTAATAGCAATCTGAGAGAACTCAGATGTTTTGTATGTGAGAAGGCAGCACACTAGACCACCGGGCACACATCTCAACAACAAATCAACAACTTTGCCTTAGTTAATAACAGCAGTTACAAGACGATCGATGATGCTTCCTCCATCCGCTGTAGTTTAGGGAAGTTGTTGTTTTTAAAAGCTGTGAAACATGAAGTTGTCATCTAGTACTTATTACAAGCCTACGGTAAGGTGTAAGGAAAGAATTAGAATGAGGACCAGTGATTATCTACATCCATATTAAATGCATAGTAATAGAATAAATAACAAAAAGAGTTTATCTGAGTAATTTATCAATATTTTGTTATGTTTTTGTGATTCAGAGACATTTGGACGAACACTGCAGTCAGGATTTTGAAGCCTCAGCATGATGAGCCATCCACAGAGCTACATAGAAGGTAAGACCAGTAACCCCTTAAAATCGTATGAAATCATTGCCATAAAATTCTAGTTATTTTGAAACTTGAAAGTGTATTTAACCATCTGACAAATTTGTTTAAAAAAATTCCATGTATGATTTTTAATTTGCATCATATTTGCTACACCTCGCTAGCCGTGACAGAATAAGGTTTGTATACTGAAATAGAACAACATTAACTGTACATAACCTAAAAATATTCCAAGCCCACGTTAATTCTTTACTCATCCACTCATTCTCTTATAAGGTGAGGGACAAGGGGTGCCAGTCATTCTTTAATCATATCAATTTATTTTAGTCCTTGCAGTTATCAAAAATGTAAAGATTCGAAGTAATTGTTCTCAGAGAGGATGAATCAAAATTTACAAATATGCAAGAAAGAAAAATACGATAAACTGTTAAGTGTTTAAAAGGTGTGAAAAAGGAAGTAACCAAGACCAAATACAAAGAGGAACTGACCATAAGGACGTGTGACATGTAAACATGTTTTAACATGGGTGATATTCACGTATGGGATGTTTCCTGTTGGAGGAAAGCATCTTAATCAACTTAACTGTTCTTGCATTGACAATCTACTATAATACAGTGTACTATTATAGTAGTACTATAGTATTATATTTTGAGAAAATTTTAAAAACTGTTATAACAGATGAATACACACTTTTCTGAAGGCTCACATCTGTTTCTCCTCTAAATGTTCATCAGGTGAAACTGACTCTTGGCATGCAAATCAAGCACATGGTCAAAGGTCAAGGCAGAGAGAGTGGCACTGCTGGTTCTCTGTCTTCTGCTCACAGCTGCTGTTCTCATTATTTATCATCTCAGTGAGTTTGCGAGTGAGTTTTTATTTTATTTTATTTTTTATTTTTACATTTTCTATGAATCAGGTGAGGTGCATATTGTACACTGGCCAAGCCATCATGTCACTTCAGTGTTTTAGCAGCAAATTAAAGATTATGTGTTTATCTTTTCAGGGCTTTTGTTCTTTTGTTTTTTGTAATCCTTGTTAATTTACAAAATCTTTGTTTCTCTTATTTTTTAACTCAGCGTTTGAAAACACGAAAATCAGAGAATCACTGAAAAAACTGGAAGAGCTCAGAATGAAGTCTCAAAATGTTCTTACAGGTAAGCAAATAAAGATGATATGCTGTGATATTTGGCTATGCTTGGATTGTTCTGCTGGCACATAGCTGAGTATGAGCCAAGCTTGCCTAGTTTTTTTTTTTTTTTTTTTTTACCTGATACAAAGAATGTAGTTTTTTTTTTTTTACATTCAAGCATCAGAAAAACTAGTCCTGATTAAATTAAAGTTAATTATTAGTTATCCTTTAGAGAGAGTCTCTGTTAGAATAATCATGCAGGACGGTGCACCCTACCTTTCCGAAATCCCAAATGATAAATACATTTGGATGAATTTGGTCTTTGACACATTTGCATCCTTATAGATATATATGAACAGTGATTTTTTTTTTGCCATGTGACTGAAATTGTTGCTGTAATCTCTTCAAAGATGGCTCATTTTATAAATGTGAAGAAGGCTGGGAGAAACATGGAGGAAAGTGCTATTACTTCTCCATCAGTCAATCATCCTGGAAACAGAGCAGAGATGAGTGTAGAGCTAAAGGAGGAGACCTGGTTAAGATAGACAGCAGGGAGGAGCAGGTATGAAACACTAGTCGTGTTTCCACATGTTTCAGCACAGAACTGTCAGATAAGGTAATTTTCTTCATCTTTTTGTGATCAGGCATTCCTGGAGAGAAGAGTGAGAGAACTAATGAAAGAAGGTGAGGACAAGTTCTGGATCGGACTGACAGACTCAGCAGTAGAGGGCAGATGGTTGTGGGTGGACGGATCACTACTGGATGAAAGGTTTGATTGTTGTGAAAAAATAAAAATAAAAAAATTCAATTTCCAGAATTAATATTCCCAGTTTTTACTTCTTTCTGTTCTTCATCTTTTAGTTTGAAGTTTTGGGCTGGCAAAGAGCCAAACAACGTGACAGAGGGAGATCCTGATGGAGAGGACTGTGTGAGAATGGGAGAAGAATTTGAAAATAAAGATCTGAAGTGTTGGTTTGATCAGTCCTGCTCAAAGCCTCAAAGAAGTATTTGTGAGAAAGCAGGAGTAACTGCAACTTAAATGTATATCTTTCTGAAATACAGTTCACCATGTTGAACACCAGAGTGGAGTGATGCAATTTTTTAAAAGAATTGTTGCAAACAGACAAACAGACAAAAAAAGAGTATGATTAAATAAATGAAAGTAAAAAAATTTGTATCTGGTATCTTCCTTACTGCTCTCATTATTTTTGTACAACGAATGTGTGAGCTCCTGTGAAATTTTCAATATTTTTTTCAATTATAAATTGTCCCAATTTTTACAACTTTTAAGCAATGAAAAAAAATCCACCACATTTTGGATTTCACTGAATATATAAATATGCAAAATAGCTATTGAAGGAATTATTAATTATTATAACATTTAAAGCAGAATGGAAGAAATGTTAAGTGTTAAAATGGAGTAAGTAACAGATATCATTGAAAAAGAAGTGGAATTGACCATTACAGTGTACATTACAGTTTTTTTAACCATTTCAAACTATTTACAGAACAATCAGCTGTTATGCATTCAATAAGATGCTACACAAATTATTTGAGCCACTCAGAAAAAATTATTTCTGTCCTCTATAAAGGAGAACATCACAGCCTGATACCTGCAGGTCTGACAGCAGCAGGTGTATCATTTCTTTTTCTACCTGGAGACAGCAGTCGTCTCATTGTGCTGACACACAACACAAAACTATCCACAACACTACACAAGACAAAACATTAACTACACACCCCAAACACGCTAAACGTCTCAAATCTCTCACATCTCAATACTCGCTCTCTCTCTTTTTCTGCTGTCTCTCTCTCGCCGTCACTCCTAAAACTTCCCCCTCTACCTAAACAACCAAATGTTATGTTGCCATATCATTTTTCAATTTGTCGATATTGTACATTTTTCCACCAACACGAAAGGTTTTTTTTGTTTTTCTTTGTTATTTTTAATTTTCCTAGTATTTGCACTCATAAGAACCATGGGAACCCTCAGAAACCTTGAATTGAAGCTGGAAACTGTAAAAAAAACCCTCTCCTATAGGTAAGAATATGGAGCTCATACACTGCAGCATTATATTAACCTTGAACTGTGTGACCATCAGTGAAATTTAATCTTCTGAGACACAGCTATTATTATTATTATTATTATTATTATTATTATTATTATTATTATTATTATTATTAAATACACATTTTCACTCCTGCTGTCTCCAACTCCTAAAATATGAACAGTAAATTCTTATTTGCTGCAACCCCTCAAAGTTGAGCCCTTTCTAAGATGTGAAGAAGGCTGGGAGCAACACAGAGAAACCTGCTATTATTTATCCACCAGGAAGTTGTCCTGGAGCAAGAGCAGAGACGATTGCAGAGCTGAAAGGGGAGACCTGGTTAAGATAGACAGCACGGAGGAGCAGGTATAAAACGTTGCCGCAGGTTCATGTTTTCTGATTCTTACATTTTTGTCATCTTGGCACAGAAAACAGAGTAATTTTAATCAAAATTTCCCTTTAGGAATTCCTGGTTGAAAAAATAAGATACAAAATGCTGGATTTGGAGGACAAGTTCTGGATCGGACTAACAGACTCAGCATCTTAGGGCACATGGTTGTGGACGGATGGCTCACTATGAATTCTGGGATAGGTTGGACCACGAAGGATATTTACCTCGCCTTGTTTCTTGTGTTTTGGTATCAGCCGCAATAAAGGCTTGTTTTTGGTTTATTCAAGTTACTTGCCACGTTCCATTTTGTCAGCATTTAAATCCATTATTCACTCTTCACAAAATCAGCTTCAGCCTGGCTGTTCAAATATTTTGTTTTTTTACTTCCTCACATGCATACCTAGACTGTAAAAACAAACAAACTGTACTGCCCTGCACACTGAAAACTAACAGCTAAGGAGGATCAAGTGACAACAGTGGCCTATGCAACAAGTTGGATGTGACACGGTTTCACAGCACTCTGAGAGTTTGGAGAAGGTGGCCAAACAAGACACCATAAGCAGATGTTCCAATTCGGACATATTATATAATCATGGGAGTTGAGCAGGTTGTGTGGCCAGTGTATTGTTGACATAAAGCTGATAAGTCAGCCTCTAAAACATCCTGAACAGCAGGTAACGTGGCGAGAGACAAGATCAAGCTACAGGTAAGAGTTTAGAACTGCTTCTTGCTTTCTGCTCCCTGGGGCAGGATAGCTCAGTAGGTAAAGTGGTCGCCCCATGATCGGAAGGTCGGCGGTTCGAATCCACTTAACGGCTACCCTGAGGTACCCCTGAGCAAGGTACCGTCCCTACACACTGCTCCCCGGGCGCCTGCTTAGTGGGCTGCCCACTGCTTCACAGAGTGAATGGGTCAAATGCAGAGAAAAACTAAAAAAGTAATTTCCCCATGGGGATCAATAAAGTATCCATTATTATTATTAAAAGTCTACAGTGTAATGCTTTCCTTGTTCTAATCCAATCAGAATAACATGTGCTCTAAATCCATTTGTGACCCTCTGATTTACTAAGATGGATCCAAACTCATAATTCCCAGATGAGTTAGATCATGTCGTTACTGTTTTTAGTTGTGCTAAATGTTTTATAATGTGAAGACAACAGAAAACATTTTGCTTTGAAAAATTGTAATGATGGTCAGTGTAATCAGGTAAAGACCCAAAAACTGGATAAAAAATGAATTCATGAAGAATATTTTCAATAGTCTTCAATTTATCATTTAGATCTATTTAAACAGTTAAATAGTTTCCCATATTTTTTGCTCCCACTGTATGTTTTAATAATAATCTGATCACATTATGTGGTGAATTAACCCTTTTCATTTGTAGTATTTCACATGACTGAGTTCATTTTATTACCACATCGCGTTAAACATTTTCCTTAAATTAATCTGCTGCCTTTTTATTTTCCTACATAAAATATTAATTACAAATACTATTTTAGACCCTGAACTGGTTAACGTTTTTTTTTTTTGTTGTTGTTGTTGTAATTTTTACATAGAGATTCTTGAGCTTTTCATCCTTTCATCAGTGTTGGTCACATTTATGGAAAAGACCCCATTCATAAAGCATGCAATAACACCAAAGTGAACAGAAACACAGTCCAAACAACACCAGCTGTTAGCACACTAATCGTTTCGCACACATTACCTTGAAACCTGAGGGCTCAGTCAGTGAATGATACTGTGAGCTTTTTGGCACCGACAGTGACGACATGTATGTGCACAAAGTATTGCAGCTTTTGTCATCGAATACTTTGTCCAAATACCAAACTGATGTTAGGTATTTGTGATTTTATATACTTTTTTGTTATGTTGACTGTAAAGGTTGTAAAGGTTGTAAAGGTGGCTTACTTTGCTGTTTCCAAACTACTGGCTAGTGGAAGTGGATCACTCAGTTTTACTTTTACCAATAGATGCATTTAATTTTACTGTGAAGTAGTTATGAGAGAAGTAAAGGAGAAGAGAGTTGACATGGTTATAAAATCTGTGCAGGGAGGAGGGTTTGAGTAAACAGGTGGGATAACAATACAATGTGCTTGACAAACCACTCAATGACCCTGGAGCACTGCATTAAAAACATACAGTTGTTTAGTGAAAATGTCTGTACAGACTCGGGAACACCGTTCACTGCAATGTCCACAGAGAATATATATGTAGACAATGCTGAGGATTGCATAAATGTGTTCCAATATAAAATAGACCCTCATAAGGCTGACTGTGTCGATCCAGGTATCCTGGCTAAAATGTAAATCTACTTTTCCTTCTCCACAGCCTCCAGCAAAGCCATGGACTCTAGCGTGCCTCTCGTCCTTTTGCTGCTCATGTGCAGTTCAATCATGGTCGAAGCCCAACTCAAGGTGTATGATCTGCGAGCGACTGATCTTCCCACCGTTGTCCTGTTAACCACAGATGCCTATGTCAAGGTGTCCTCTGGTTTTACTTCTCTGGGTAAAACATCTGTACGCTACAATGACGCGAACCCCTGGTGGGAAGAGGAATTCTCGTATTTCAACATTAAGGAAAATGACACGCTGACCCTCAAGGTTTATGACTTGGACTTGGTCTTTGATGATTTGCTGGGAGTCTGCAAAAGGAAGCTGAAGGTGGGAACCTATCAGCATGACTGCTTCCTGACCAAAGGCGGGACTCTCCATTACACTTATACGCTTGGTTGAAACAGTCAGTAGGCATGCAGAGATTTGTATGACATCTGATGTCCACAGGCAGCCTTCATTTACCACAGCCTAACAATGTAGACTGTTATATGAGATCTGAAATCCATTTTCAGGGTTTTCATCATGCTCACATTAACCAAAATATTAAACCTCTAAAAAACCTGTAAAGTTTTTCTACTACACTTCAGTCCTTGCTGCCTTGTTTCACCAATTGAAATAAAGTTTCTTGCAATGAAAACATGAAAAAATAAAAGAATGACTAAGCAAATATTCAGAGAATGTCTGACATGTATGATTTAATAAAGAAACATATTGAGAATATTGTGACTGACAAACAGATTTTTGAAGAGAAAAAATATTTCTATCCATTTGAATTTAAAAGAAGCTATGTTGAAATTGTCCAGTGCCTACTGGGGTAGGCGTAAATTATGGCTTTGCGGGCCATATTTTACGCCTACCCCCTCATCGCCCAGCTAAGATTGCCATGACATGGCGTCCACGCACTGGCAAGCGAAAGCAAGGCCGACCAAAGACCACTTGGCTTGAACATTCATGGATGATCTGAGAACTGTTGACATTGCCTGGGACGAAGCTGTAGCAGTCGCTGCTGACAGACATCGATGGAGACCACTAGCTGCCCGATGCGCCGCCCGGCGTAGGAGGAACTAAGTCTAAGTCTAATGTTGAAATTAATGTTTATATGAGAATAAGCCTATGGTTACTAGGATAAATTGAATGAAACACGAAGTGACTGTATGTTCATATACATACATGGAATTAATAATAAGTCACTTGAAGAATGCCTGACCATCGGTTTGTGCCTTGAAGCTCAAGCAAAAATGGGCAACAGGGCAATGATCAAAAACACAGCAACAAATCCACCTCTGAATGGTTAAAAAAACAAATTCTGGAGTGAAACATCAAAGTCCCCAGTCCCCTCCTGGTTCACATTCCCCCTCTGAGGTTCCAGAAACTGGGACAATCCTTTTTGTCCTTTTTATGGCTTTATAGTGGGAGTAAGGGCACCCTCCGTTTTCGAGGTGCGCCTGCTGCTTGCGGCACAGGGAGGAGAGGGCGGGGCAGTCCAGAGGGAGTCTTCGCCCAGGGCGCCAAACAGGCTAGGACCGCCACTGCGTGACATTTCTTCTCATTGTGTTTGTTATTTTTCATATTCCAATGAAGGCTTTAAGTGTTTCAGAGTGATCACATACAAGAAAATAAACCTTCACAATAAAACAGGAAATGATAAGACACACATACTAAACATATACGGAAAGATGCACACTAAATCTATCTGTGATATCAGGATTCACCATGGTAACAGGTAAAAATAGAGCAGCACCATCGTTTTAATCCAGTGAATATGTTTCATTGTTGACTGTGATGTTTATCTTCAACAGAGAGATGAAAATAGTCATTGTCCTGTTGCATGACTTAAATTGGGCCAAGCTTTTATGTTGTAATAAAAAACAAAATGTCATGAATCACAAAATGAAAAGCCAGCCAAGAAACACCAGAAACCATTAAATAGTAAAGACTGGCCCTGGATATGCAAGCTGTCCAGGCTGCCCAAGTTGCAAATGATACTCGTGATACTGAGGTTACAGTGAGGCTGGTACGGTGTACATTTTAGGACATCGTCAGGTATCGGACAAAAAATTGTCAGGTGTCAGTTGTCAAAAAAAAAATTGTCAGGTATCAGACAAAAAATTGTCAGGTGTCAGTTGTCAAAAAAAAAATTGTCAGGTATCAGAAAAAAAATTGTCAGGTGTCAGAAAAAAAATTGTCAGGTGTCAGTTGTCAAAAAAAAAAAAAGTCAGGTATCAGAAAAAAAATTGTCAGGTGTCAGAAAAAAAGTTGTCAGGTGTCAGAAAAAAAATTGTCAGGTGTCAGTTGTCAAAAAAAAAAAAGTCAGGTATCAGAAAAAAAATTGTCAGGTGTCAGAAAAAAAGTTGTCAGGTGTCAAACAAAAAAGTTGTCAGGTGTCAGAAAAAAAATTGTCAGGTATCAGAACACAAGGTACCAGAGAGAAAATCTTCCTGCAGGTGGCGCTGTTGTCATGTCCCACCCGAATTGATTTCCAAATACGTCATCAACGTGTGACCGTGGGAGAGCGTAAGGTCATTGACCTCACCGGAGTTTTACCGTGGTTCAGGCTCCTAACGACACAAGGTAAGTTTAACTTTTTCTCCCTTTTGTTCATATTTTTGCCACAGTTGTGTTATATTAAGTTGCAGTTATGTTGTGAAAGTTACATATCAGAGACGGAAAGCCAGTTTTGTACGAAACCAAATCAGTACTATTTTTGTCTGGCTAATTCATTCTAGCTAGCGACAGTGGTGAAACGTGATTCAAATTTAAACTGTTCAGTAATTGTTTTGTATACATTTCAGCAAATGGACAAGCTGAAAGCTTACGAGCAGCTTAAAAAAGACCTTGAAAATGGTAATCCAACACTTTATTAAACTTTTTGGTAATGCTTGCAAGTTAATTTTTTTAACTGCAAAGAACCCTGACAATATCATGCTTTAATTATTTAACATGTATGGTATTCATATTTACTTCTCTTTATTAATATGCATGTTAACAGATGTATATAGTTATTACTTTATGATATTGTTGGAGTGCCCGATTTAAAAAAAAAAAAAATAAATAAAAATGACAAAAGTTAAATTTCTCACAAAATTAAAAGATTGCAATTTAAAAGTTAGATAGTCATGTAGGATCTGTCTCCTACAGTCAATCTATAACTACTTACCCTTTTAAAATTTTATTTGAAGGTGAGATTACCCAAAAAGGCTTTGATAACAACATAAAAAAGCTCCTGACAGCAGAAAAATCAGGTAGGTTTTGATACTTTTGAACAACATGCAAAACAATCTCCTTTATTTAACATGATATGCTTAGCAGGTTATGATTGAATAACCACTTTATTAATAGATGCAATACATTTTGAAAGCAGATGACTGTGCAGTAGTCTGTGATTGTATTAGAATTCTATAAACCACATGTTTCACATCAATGCCCTATTTATATTGCAGATGACACTACTTCAACACGTGGCAATGAATTTCTCAGTAAGAAAACCACAATTATTTTGCTTCAAGGTCATTTGTAATATAGAACTCGCTGTGGATCAGTTTGATTAACTTTCAGCTTCATCCATTACAGGTGCAGCAGAGGCCTTTGGTAAAGCCAAGAAACTACTACAGCCTCAAGTAAAGAAAAGGCAGTTTCCACTGAATGATAAACGTTTGGACCATGCCAAATCATTATTGAAGGTTAGTTAAAAAGTGAAGCTACCTGTATGACTATCAGCAATATATTAAAAAATAACTTTCTAAATTTGGCTTATTTTTTAATAAATTTCCCTTTTTTCCTTGATGCTAGGTCAGACTGGCTCCCATGGAGTGGAAGCCAAGAACTCATAGAAAATGTGGACGGTACCAGAAGTTAATAATGGACGAAGCTCCACCTCGAATCATTCTTCAAGGCCATGAAACCTATGATGATTTAATTACCATAGGCAAAGAACGCTTCTGGCCAGAGCGTACTGAGGGGAGTGAGTTCACTCTTTGCCATTCTGACGGGACCAGGTGGAGTAAGCAGGAGTTCCACAAAGAATACGGAACTGTTTCTGATATTACACATATGTGGAAAAGAACAATATACATCGGGCGACGACAACTGGGTAATAAAGTGTTCAATATTACTATTAACTACTGTCTAGCACTCGAATTTGTATGGTATGAAATAATTTTACTTTTTGTACAGAGGTCGTGTGTTTGGATGATCAAAGTTCCATCTCAGGTGTGTGCCTGCCCAAACCAAATTGAATATTTTTGATGTTATGATTGAACATGGTACACTGGCCATGTTGGGCATTATTCAGATATATTGCAATTAATGTGTTATTTTACAGATGAAGACCCTGTAACTAAAGTGGGTGGTGATGAAAGTTGCAGTTTAGGTGAATGCCTGGACATCTAACTAAATCATTAAAATTGACTTCGTTTTTGTTTTGCATTACATTTCCAACCTTTACACACTTGTTTACTATGCTTGGTCATTGCACAGTTACTGTATATAATATGCATCTTATTCTGCAGATGAACTTCCTGAAACCCTCATAGGACAAAGTGTTGCAGAACAGGTAAAACCATGGCTTCATCTTGAACAGAACAATTAATTTCTTATCATTGTCATAAATGTGGATATTTTCACAGTGCACCCTGCAAAAAGTATATCTTGGCTGAATGTGTTCATAGGATTTCCATGCAGAAACATCCAGCTCAGCTGAATTTGAAACAGGGAGAGTCAGAAAGAAAAGCCAGTCCAAGCAAAGGAAGGAGGAAAATGTAGGGTCATCTCTAGGTCCAGGTGGAGCAGTGAGCCAAGACATGTTACCACATGCAGTTATTGAGTCAAAAGAAGCTATGGAGGGAGCTGAAGAGCTATCTGAAGGTGCTGGAAGTAGTGGGCTTTTGATAGATTTTGCACAGTCTTTCAACCCAACTCCAAAATCGCCATCATGTAAGCATTCTTTCCCATTTAGGGCTAACATCATATCATCAGACAAAATTGTAAATAAAGGTTTTCATTCTTCACTATTTGGTACTCAAGTTCCTGGAGTAAACCTAGATATTAGTGATCCAGCAGTTAATAGAAGAATGATTAGCAGTAGCTGTATGTTAATGGATGTTACTTTGTGTTTTTTTTTTTTATCCCCAAGTGTATCTTCCACGTGTTCCATATGTGGAAGAGGCTTTAATTACATACAGTGAGGACAATCTACTGGGAGAAGGAACATTTGGCAAGGTATATAGAGGTTCTTTTCATGGTACTCCAGCAGCTGTTAAAAGGATCATGTGTGGCCAACAAGGGATGGAGGACAGCGACATTCATCATGAGATAAATGTTTCACTGTAAGAACTTTGACACACTTTTTTTTTTTCATTGTCAAAATCGATTCTTCCTCAAGCTGTAACATAATATGCCTCTATTTTGTTTTTTTTATTCGGACATGTTTCTGTTTTATTAGGAGACTGTCTCACCCCAACATCGTCAGACTCATGGCAGTTGCCCGCACTGAGTCCTGCTTTTTGTTGGCAGCTGAATACATTCATGGCGCAACCCTGCAGCAAGTGCTTCACACAGACAGCTGCTTGGTGAAGGTACCAATACTCATAACTTTATGTTTAATACATTTAGGTAGATGTGAATTATCTTAATACCCTCATATTAAAAAAGAACTTTTTATTGCTGTCATTTGTTTAAATATGTACTTGAAACCATCTTTGTGTACAACATATAAAAAGACTGATTCCTTTATTTTTCTCTCATGTTTTCAACCATTTAGAATTACCAAAATGATCTTTAATTGTCAAATGCCAGAAAAGTATCAACTTAGTAAAAGAATAATCTTAAATTTTTAATAATAAGCTCCCTTACTGTTTTGGTAGAATTGCTGTTTTTACTTGGATGAGGTCCAGACATTTTAGGTTTTCTTCTACAATATTCTTACAATATTTTTCAGGAATTTCTGTCCAGTCCTCCAGACAGGACTGGTGTAACTGAGTCAGATTGGTTGGCCACCTTGCTCACACACACCATTCACCTCTGCTTACAGTTTCGCAAGAGGACTGCAATCAGGGCTTTTTGATTGTCACCGCCAAACATTGACTTTGTTGGTCTTAGGTCCCATTGTAATTTATTGAAATTGAAATGGCAATTGCATTTGAATACTAATCCTATTGAAGTAATACATTTCCAGTGGTAGACATGTTAGATTGTCACACTGGCTACGCATTGTTTTATTAATATTATATATTGTCTTGATAGCTTGAAGGGGATGATGCCGGTTTCATATCACTGGACTTATCCATGGCAGTAGAGTACATCCATGCACAGAGAATCATTCACCAGGATATAAAGCCAGCAAATGTCATGGTAAGCCATACTGTATTTTTCTTTTTCTCCACTTTGTTTTTGAAGATCAAAATAAAAATAGTATATTATTTATTTAACTTTATTCTCTTCAGTCTATTAAACACTACATTTGAACAATGAGAAACTTTTCTGGCATATTCATATAAAGGATTTTTTTTTAAAGTAAGAAGCCTTACATTGTTTCTTTAATAGTCCAATTTTTCTTTAATATGTTGGTTCTTGCACACCTACAAAATTCCCAAACATGTTGTAAGTTTAGGCTTTACAAACTGAAAGTTTCTATTCTTTTATTAGTCTGTACCACTTGCTTAAGTGGAATGGGGATTAAAAAATGCACAGGACTATAAAACCGGGTTGGATCATTAACCAATCTGTTAATTTTAATGTTTGGTATAATAAACAATCTCAGAATAAATCTGCAGTGATTGGGTGATCTGGGTGCTAAAAGCTTTGAGGGTTTTTTTTTTTTCCCCAATTATGAGCTGTGGTCTTTGGAATGACATTTTTGATAACATTTGTGAAATTTTAGACAACCTGGTAAGTTCTCATATGTATACCTTATAGGTTCACCACCCTTCTAAAAAGGCAGTCCTGACAGACTGGGGCATGGCAAACATAAGAGACACTGTGATGCTTCGTCAAGGGAGTAAGTTCACTGCCCAGGCTACTGGTCCAGCTGGTGGCACATATCTTTACATGGCCCCTGAATGCATACTGATGTTTGAAGAGGCCTCGTTCCAGACAGACATGTGGTCCCTCGGAGCCACATATCTGGAGATCCTGACGGGTTCCGCTCCGTGGATGGTTAAAAAACAAAGAGAACTGGCTGCACTAATGGCCACCAAAACCCCACCACATGCCCTATCACATCTCAGTGACAAAAACAGTTTTCTTGGTGGTTTGGTGAGCTATGACCCAGACTCAAGGCCTTCCGCATCTGATGTTGTTAAGTTTCTCAAGTCAGGCCTTGATCTTACGAGCCGATATGGCTACAAGTGGTAATGGTGCTACAGTCTGCAGTTCAAAAGTCTTTCAATGTGAATTATGTTCTACATTTTGTTAACAAAAGTTGTGGTAAATGAAACACTGAATCATTATGAAAGATGGCACCTTGTCAATTGTATTTCAAAATTTTATTGTACATTTTGTTGGTCAGACAGTTTTCAAATTACCTGTTGATTTTAAACAAGGATAAATAAATGTTAACAAACACTGTTGTATGATTTTATTGGTCATTGGAAATGTTTACTGGTGCACCTTCCATCCTCTCTCTCTTCAGAAAGATGTATATGTCATTTGCCTCGGCAAACGTAGAAGGTGTAGGAACTGCATTTCTGTTCATGGCAGTTGTGAGCTCTTGGACTAGCATGAGGTATGCAGCAAGGCAACCATCAGGTGTGCAGGGAAACTGGCTGTTTTCTAAAATGTTCTGGCACATGTCTCTGAATTCCTGGTTTGCTACCAGTGAAGGCTCTTCCCTCTCACAGATTAATTGCTTGGCATAGTCTAAAAGGTCTGGGTCAACAATGTGCAGCACATTGCCATATCCTGCGAATGAAAGACAATATTGAAAAGATGTTCACTTTGAATGTTAAAAATAAATGAATAATGACAAAGCTGTTCTAGAACCTGTATAAGAAGCAGTCAGTGTTTACAGATGTTATTACAGAAACTTAAAGATGGAAATATCACTCAAACATTTAGATAAATTTTTAGTTAAAGGTGTCAATATGAAGCCATTTTAGTATTGACAGTAGAAATTCAGAAATCTCTTATTGTACTACAAGTAGGCTTCTTCGGAAGACACAAAAGAGAAAGCACATTATAACAGTTTTACGCTCATTACACTGGCTTCCAGTATATTTTAGAAAATTCATTTTAAAATTTTAGTAATGACTTTCAATGCTCCGAATCGTGAAGCTCCTGCCTTAATTTCTGATCTTATAGAACCCCACGCTCCCTCTCCCAGCCTGTGATCATCTAATCAATGGCTGTTAGTAGTCCCACCAGAAGACCAGAGGCAAGAGATTCTCCAAAGCGGTGGCTCCCAGGTCATGGAATGCTCTGCCTCCATCATTACGTTTCCTTGATTGCATTTATTCTGTATGTTCGATTGTGCTGTTTTATGTTCATCTGTTTTATATTATTGTGAAGCCACTTTGTGGTTTTTATCCTGTGAAGAGTGCTATATCAAAGTAAAAGTAAACTAATGAAAGTTAAAAAACAAACAAAAAAATAAAACCCCACAGGCTTTCAAATGACATACCAGGAGGTGGTGAGGTAAACAGAAGGTCGGGTTTCCCAAATGGACCAGGTGCATTGCGTTGCTTGCGGATGTCATGGGTGTTCCAAACTGTTTGCTCCGTTTTTAAGTCTCTTTGAAGCAGTGGCAAGTGTGAGTACTGCAAGCAGTTGCTATGAAAAAGGAGAATTAAAAAATTAATATGTTCATCTGCTTCTTTGAGGTAGAATAAGTAAAAGCTAAATTTTAATCAGTACTCAAAAAACAAAGGCATTCCTAGACCACATACTTTCATACTGCTGCTTGATTATTTTTCATGTCTAAAATATTGACTTACATGTGCACAGGATTGTCCAGTTCAAGGATCCCAGACTCCATCATGGCCTACGCATGTTGTTTTGAAAAAGACATAAGTTGTGAAGGTGAGAATTTCATTAGTGAAAAGGTACAGATGTACATAAACACAGATTCTGGCCTTGTGTTTTCAGATAAACTAATCCATCGTATGTTTAACGAAATTTTGATGGCTAGTCTTTGTTAATAGGTTTTACAGGTGAAAGATTTGCTTTACCTCAAATGTTGTCAGCCATTTCTTAATCCATGTCCGCTTTAAAATACTGTTGAAACATTCAGCTCTCTAAACAACAGAAACATGACATTATCAGTTTTGTTGTCAGGTTGTTACTTTAGAAATAGTCATTTACCAGCTTAAAGACATACCTGGTTGTGCACTGATGTCCCCATTCTGAAGCACCTCCATGCCTGATTCCCAAGATCTCGCATGTGAAATGCCATCTGCATTTGACCCACAACAAGGTTCTCCTTTCCTCTGTCCCCCCGAATCATTTGAGGACAGCCTAAAGACACAAACTGAAGATAATTAGTGAATGATGAAAAAATAAATTTATTAACAAAATGTAATCTTTTTAACCCCCCATTTTTTTAGTATATTGCATACCACCCTGTTCTTGAACAGCCTCAAAGAAGTATCTGGCCACAAAGTTTTGTTTGCGGTTGGATGTGCCCACCTTTAGCCATAGAACCTTCCTGGAAAATCTGAAAAGAAAGAAACAGAAAAGTGGCCACTTGTACATATGATTTAATCATGTTTTGGCACTATGTTTGGTTTTTGTTACATTCCCCAAGAGTGACAGAGGATTTTTATGAAATACAATATAATCAAGTGTGCCTTATATTCAAGTGTTCATATATTTTCACATAACCAAGCCTATTGTTGAAGAATCACCTAACCAAGTCTATTGAAAGGAAAACATGATGCATTCCTTACCTCAGTGTCTGAGATGTTTGACAAACATGATATAATGATGCATTCTTTACTTCAGTGTCTGTGATGTCAGATAAAGCATGATATACTTCTGTATTCTTACCCCAGTGTGTGAAAGATCAGATAAGCTGATCTAATGCCTAACCTCTCTTCGACTTCTCACAAAAGAGAAAGTACTATGTAACCTGCTTTTTCCTATAAATAAAGGAAGCAAGCCTGCATTCGGTGTGTGTGTTCCTCAGAGACACTCACCCGTGCGCACGCTCTTATACACTCTGAGTTTGGTCTGCAGTGTCTTATTTCTCTTGCTTGTGTTTGAACAAATGTCTTCCCCTGACAAAGAGTATGCTGGTTTTCCATTGTATTATGTCTAGGCGTTGTTTCTGGTTCCTCCGGCCATTTTGACTGCCATAGTTGTGTAGGCTTACATGCCTTTGGAATTGAATGTGACTCTTGACTGTGTTCAGACTGACGCGAGGGGAGAGCTGCCTTTTGTTTTGTAATCCCTTGTATTCTCCTGTTTATGTGTTGGTTAGGTAGGTTATCGTAAATTGTACATTTTATTTTCTTTGGAGTTAAATTCTGTTTACTTTATATCAGGGATGTTTTGTTTGTTGTGTTGGTCTTGGCCCTCCCTGAAATTAACTGCCAGTCTGAAATGGAACTTTAAGACTAGCAGGAAATAAGCCTTTTAAAAACCGCCATCTTGAATACTCCTTCACTATTCATACTTTATCTTGGTCCCTTAGACCAGGCTTGGCCAAATCCAGACCTCGAGGGCCAGTGTCCTGCATGTTTTAGATATCACCCTGGGTAAACACACTTGAATAAAATGATTAGTTCATTACCAGGCCTCTGGAGAACTACAAAACATGTTGTGAGGGTAATTTAGCCATTTGAATCAGCTGTGGATCAAGGACACATCTAAACCTGCAGGACACCGGCCCTCGAGGCCTGGACTTGCCCATCCCTGCCCTAGACTCCTCAGGAGAGATAACACCTCAGTTTACCGCACATCCTTATCTTGAAGCAACTTTGTACTATCACTGAATATAATAAATTAAGTAGCGAATGCCATATTCAAACCTACCCATCAATCCCCAAATGTATCCACATTCCAAAGAACTTCAGTTTATCATTGCCTATATGAAACAACAAATAATAATTACAATTTGTTTCAACAGAAGTACCATCAAAACATGTTTGGAAGGTTAATTGAAAAGATAAAATAAATACCATCAATGTGCCATGTGTCATTTGGACCACGGCTGATGTAATTCCGACGGGGAATTTTCTTCTTTCCAGGAGATCTCCTCTGAAGACCACTTGCATCCATATACCTCATTATATTAGCAACATCGTCTCTACAGTAACAATAGATTTTACTATGAGCTCAACAGTAAAACAAGAGAATACTTGATTATATACACACTATTTAACCAACCTGTAACAAGGCCGCACTCCTCTGACATCCCTTACCCGCTTTACCATTGCCCTGATTCCTTGTTCAGGAGACCACTGTTTCATCTCACTCTAAAAAACAAACAAACAGACAATTGAATGTTTTTTTTTTTTTAATCACTACAGAAAATAACATTTATTGTTTCTACAATAGCTCATGACACAGACTTCAGGAAAATATATATTTTTTGCACTGATGTTTTAACGCTTACCTCCACAGCTTGTGGATTTCAGTAAAAGGTCGTTGGGGGCATCTTCGCTTCAACCCTAGAAGTTTTAAAACTCGTCTCAGATGCCTCTCACTGTTAAAAGACAACACAGACTTACATTATATTGAATGCAAACTGCATGTTTTGTCATTTTAGAGAGTTGTCACGGAAACTGTTGAAATGCAGACTTACCTTATTTTATGCCCATATGAATTCAGTGCACAGCTGATTCCTTTTGTTTTAAGCCTTTGTTGAACAATGTTATTATCATCATATCTTGAAAGGTTAAGTGTAACAACAACAGTCTAATTGATCACCCACCTCTTACACTGAACATAAGTAATTAACCAGTAAAGTACTAAATCTTTTATGTGGCAATTACACTAAAAGCATCGTCAATTCAGTGCCCACAAATAAAACGTGTAGCAAAAAATACACTTCTTTGATATTAAATAGGTGAACAGTAGTTAATAAATAAGTTGTACTTTAGTCATTTATTTTTAATGCTCTTTTTTTAATAAAAAAAAAAAGTATTTTTGGTACAGTCATGGGAACCAGCCAGAGTCGGATACTCCTTTCATCATCGTCAGATGACATATTGCAGCAAAGTCTAAAAACAATAACAGAAAAAAAAAATCAGGATCAAAAAATATCCCGACAGTAGCAATATAGAAAAGAGAAATAAAGAAAAAGAGCGACAGAAAGGATGCAGGCTGCTCGTAAGCTTTCAGCTTGTCCATTTGCTGAAATGTATACAAAACAATTACTGAACAGTTTAAATTTGAATCACGTTTCACCACTGTCGCTAGCTAGAATGAATTAGCCAGACAAAAATAGTACTGATTTGGTTTCGTACAAAACTGGCTTTCCGTCTCTGATATGTAACTTTCACAACATAACTGCAACTTAATATAACACAACTGTGGCAAAAATATGAACAAAGGGAGAAAAAGTTAAACTTACCTTGTGTCGTTAGGAGCCTGAACCATGGTAAAAACTCCGGTGAGGTCAATGACCTTACGCTCTCCACGGTCACACGTTGATGACGTATTTGGAAATCAATTCGGGTGGGACATGACAACAGCGCCACCTGCAGGAAGATTTTCTCTCTGGTACCTTGTGTTCTGATACCTGACAATTTTTTTTCTGACACCTGACAACTTTTTAGTCTGACACCTGACAACTTTTTTGTCTGACACCTGACAACTTTTTTTCTGACACCTGACAATTTTTTTTCTGATACCTGACTTTTTTTTTTTGACAACTGACACCTGACAATTTTTTGTCTGACACCTGACAACTTTTTTCTGACACCTGACAATTTTTTTCTGATACCTGACTTTTTTTTTTTTTGACAACTGACACCTGACAATTTTTGTCTGACACCTGACAACTTTTTTCTGACACCTGACAACTTTTTTTCTGACACCTGACAATTTTTTTTCTGATACCTGACTTTTTTTTTTTTTGACAACTGACACCTGACAATTTTTTTTCTGACACCTGACAACTTTTTTTCTGACACCTGACAATTTTTTTTCTGATACCTGACTTTTTTTTTTTTGACAACTGACACCTGACAATTTTTTTTCTGACACCTGACAATTTTTTTTCTGATACCTGACAACTTTTTTTTTGACAACTGACACCTGACAATTTTTTGTCTGATACCTGACGATGTCCTAAAATGTACACCGTACAGCCGCCTCAAGGCGCTTTATATTTTAAGGTAGACCTGACAATAATACATACAGAGAAAAATCCAACAAACATATGACCCACTATGAACAAGCACATTGGCGACAGTGGGAAGGAAAAACTCCCTTTTAACAGGAAGAAACCTCCGGCAGAACCAGGCTCAGGAAGGGGCGGGGCCATCTGCCGGGACCG